TATATATATATATATATATATATATATATATATTATCGAAAATGGATGGATAATCAGAGGGAGAGGGAGGGTGGAGGGTAGGGAGGGGACGTGGGCAAGCAAGCACGTGGAAGAATTCGAACGTGGGGGAAGCGAAAAGGCCTCTTTTAATAAAGGTGAAGTATTACGAGAGGCACGGAGAGGCACAGGATTATATTCGTCTTTTTTTTTGTTTTTTTTTTTTTTTTGTTTGTTTTTTCCAATTAAATAAAATGGAGAAGGGTAAGTATTAATTTTTCTAAGTGAATTCGAGGATATTCCTCGTCACGTGACGTTGACGTTCGAGGCTCTCGTTGAAGATTAATTGAGAGAGAAGGAAAAAAAAAAAAAAAAAAAAAAATAAGTCGTCTACAGCATGAGATTAGGCTCTACTCCATTGACAATATCTATCTTATGAATAGCGATCAGATGACGGTGCAGGCTCGTCTTCTGAGTGAAACTGTAGCTGCAGTAGTAGCAGGGAAACTGGCGTTTTCCTCCGCATTCCCATTTCATGTGCCTCCTCAAGTTGCACCGCCTCGTGTAACCCCGGCCGCATTGCTGGCAGGGGAATCGAAAGCTCACGTAACCTGTCGAACGAAAAGAAAAACACTGACGTCAGAATATGTCGTGGTGCTGAAATCCGGCAGAAATCCGAACAATTTTCGTTACAAATCTCGAAAAAAAAAAAAGCTATTCTCGATTCTCTTTAGGGCGTTACGAGCGTTTCTTTCTCTCTCTCTCTTTCTCTCTCTCTCTTTCTCTCTATCTATTTATCTATTTATCTAATCAATCAATCTTAAACGTGGCAATCTTCGAATGCTTTGTCTTCGTGAGAATTGTCTTCGATTTTCGATCAAACCGATCAAAGTGTAATTGTTAATCGATTATATGACGGATCGACGATTTTAACGGAATTAATTGACAGTCTCGAAAAGGGGAAGAAAAAAGAAAAAAAGAGGGGGGGGGAGAGGAGGAGGGAGGTAGAAAAATGAAGATCGAAACTGGCAATAATTTTTTTCCTCGATTTCGTCGAGTCCAGTTGTTTGAAACGCGAAGAAAACGCGAATCGTTTGAAAGCGATTATGTTATGTATCGTGTTCTTCCAAGATGGTGGCGGTCCCACTTTTCAAACGAGCGCGCGTATTTTGAAACAATGGATCAAAACGACCAAAGAACGACTATCAGAGTCAATCTCGTTTTTATTCAATTCTACAATAAGGGGGAGGGAAAGTGTATAAATGAAAGCAGGGAAATGAAACGCGATATCTTCAATGGCTGACCCGACTTTGGTTCATCCTTGGCTATCTCGTCGATCTTCGTCCGAAGATGCATTTTTCTTCTTCGACGATTTTCTCTTCACCGACGAGAATTCTTCGAGACGACGAAATTATCACCAATCTCGAACCCAGGGGGGGGGGAACCTGGAAAAAATATCTCTCTCTTCGAGCTCGACGAGAAAATGGCGAAGAAAAATCCTGAAAATCCGAATTGAAAAGTGAGCGAGGCGGGCAAAGGACGCAGCCACTCGTTTGCTCGTTCGATACAACACTTCGTCAACGATTTATTGCCTCTCCTTTTATCTTTAAATCTAAACAGTTACACATGATGAGCAACGAATTTCTCGAATTATTCGAGAATCACGAGGATATCGTCATTCTTCTCCGAGTGTACGCTTCAACTGGATCTTATCCATGTTCTACGCGGTGGTATGAAAACATTGTGGGCGTTAAGCATGTGCTGCCTCAGCTTCCCGTTCTGGGTGTACCTCGCTGGACACAGGTAACAGAGGAAGTGTTTCTGGCCACCGCACTCGAATCTCAAATGCTTGACCAGATTGTGCCTCAATTGGTAAGACCTGCCGCACTGGTGGCAGGTGAAACCTTCCATGATCGTCCTCGAGCATCCCGTAGACGAGTCGATTCGCGCCTCTGAAAAACAATGAAAACGAAATGTCAAGTGGAATCTATAAGCGGATAAGCGGGGGCGAAACGGTTACAGTTGTAACTTCCGAAGGAAAAAGATTGGACTGGAAAGTTTTTTGTCGATCAATTGGATAATGAAAGGAGATCGAAAGGTTGTCCAACGTGCGCAATATTTATTCATTTTACAATTATTCGATTCGTCGTCCTTCAGATTTACCATTTATCCTGAATATCCTTGTTAAGTTTTACTCCTCTTCCCTGTAAACGGGGCTAAAAGATAATACAGGGAGGAGAAGCGAAGAATTTTCTTCTCCTTCTTCAACTGAAAATCTGACTCGCTCGATTTATTTTCTTTATTTTTCTACTCCCCTACTTTTTTTATATTCATCAATTTTCACCGATGTACCATCCATTGTCCATATTGAATTGTCCATGTGTCGCAAATAAAAAAAAAGAAGAAAGAAACCTCGTTCCAACTACTCACCATGACGTCCATACGTTTTAAAAATACATAATACTGTATTAGGGATTAAAATCGTTGAAAGAACAACATTGTCAAAAGTTTAAAAAAGTTCAAATCGTAAAAATCGTAAAAAAAAAAAAAAAAAAGAAAACATTGGACGAACAGTATCCTCGTCAAAGAGAAAGATAAGAAAGCAATGGTTTTTTTCACGTCGCTCGCGTCGACGAGGTCTCTAGAATATTTTTTTGGGGACGGAATACTTTGGCGGGATGTAAATCTTGTGTATTTGCAGCATGTGCCTGCGCAGTTTCACACTCTTCCTGTACGAGATCGAGCAAATGTGACACACGAAGTTGGTCTGCCCGCCGCAATCGTACTTCATGTGCGTGGTTAAACTCCTGTTCATCTTGTACATTGTTCCGCAACACGGGCACATCACGGGCGGTTGATTCGTACTCAACGATCTCATGCGCGCGCAGCTGTTCGGAAGCCTGTTGCCCCTCCTCAATCCTAGAAAATAAAAAGAGGGAAGAGTACCGTTAGTGGGGGGGGAGTGTTTCAAAGGTCGAAACGATATTTCGAAACTCGGACGAGGAAACACCAGGATGGTTGAAACAATATGTCCACCACACTCACTCACACTTTTATCGATCCCTCCATGGACGACGACGGATCCTTGGGACAAAGAATAGTTGATTTACGTGGAATACAGTTTTAAAGTATTATTCGGCGATAATTTCGTAACGATGAAGTAGAAATGAGAGATCGTTTTTCGATAGATAAGTTCTTCTATATATGTTTAAGGCATATTGACACCCCTCGTTCATCGGTTTAAGAATCGCACACGTTTATTCTATTCTTACAATTACAACTCCATCTTTGGGCGCTTTTGAACACTTTCTAACTTCAAACTATATGAATATAGTTAAATCGATATTCTCGAAATAATGTTGTCTACTTGTTTTATGTACATTTTACTTTTAGCTTTTTTTTCTTTTTAGTTTTAGGAAAGAAAACGATATTCCTTTTTAAAGCGATTAAACCTTTTCTTTAGGTCCCTACGTTGCATCCACGCAATTGGTGTTACACACCAAATTTTTTCAAGATGGCTTACGGTTATAGCCTTCTTTTTTTTTTTATTATTTTTTTTTTTTTATTTTCGCACACAATGTAGGTGAACGTTTTGCCTCCGATGACATATCCATGCGTACACCAATTTTCGCAATTTAAATATAAACGATTTTAGAGAGAATTAATTAAAATCGCAGGATTAATCGCAATATTAGTCATCACCGCTTAAAATACCAAATCGACGTAAATAAACATAAATATAAGGCTAAGCTAAGAAAAAAGAAGAACAAAGAAAAATAAAATCGGTATCGAATTATTTCTCTACCAAATTTCTACCTTTTCCCCCCTCGCTACTTCCAAGGAAGATTTTTTATTTATTTATTTTTTTTCTTTATTTTTTTAAAAAGAATCAAGAAAAAAGAAGAAGAAGAAAGAAAAGGGAAAAAAAAAAGGAATAAGAAAAAATTCAATGCTTGGTTCTAACGTGTCGATCGAGATTACTCTTTTGGGAGAACCTGAACTTGCAAATGGGGCAAGTGAATCTAGGCTCGACGCCGCACTCGTAATTCCTGTGCCTCCAAAGCGAGGTGAAAACCGCGTACACGCGGTTGCAATCGGGGCACACGTGCTTCTTCTTCCTCCTCCTCTTTTCCTGATCGGCGCTCTCCCTCGCGTTGCTGCTCCTCTCGGGCACGAGCAACCGCCTGTTGCACTCGAACGTTCTGTGACGTTTCAACGAGGCCATCAGCGCGAAATTTCGATTGCAATCGGTGCACAGGTACTTTCTCGGCCCGCATCTGTTCCCTATCTTCCCCTGATCGTCCTTAAACGTCATCGAGCGAAGATGCCTGGTCACTATGCGAGACGTGGGCGGCAACGTGGGCACGGTCCAATTCGACGAGCTGTAGTTTTGTGCGTCTGGAAACGAACAAACGAAATAAAAACACCTTTAGAATATCCCCCTCTCTAAGGAGATCGATAATTGAATTGAATTGGCGCGCGCGATCTTCGTCGATCTAGATAGAGATCTGCAAGAATAATCGCTAATATATATTTCCCCTTTATTAATTAATTTTCTCGTGTAATTTCGAATATTCGTATTCGCAGAAATTATATATATATATATATATGTATATGTATATATATTGGACAATAATACGTAAAATACACAGGATCTTTATTTACATTATTTCTCGTTTTTCTGCGCTTTCTACAACGTGTGTATGTGTGTACGTATGTATGCATGATGTGTGTGTGTGTGGATACATACGACAAAAAACGAACTCACAATTGCCGTGAAAAGAAAAGAAAAAGAAGAAGAAAGGAGAAGGAGGAAGAAGAAGAAGAAGAAGAAGAAGAAGAAGAAGAAGAAAGGATATCTCGTATTACGAGTTCAAAAAAAAGTTCACGGCAAAAGTTCGCGTAAGTTGATACGTAAAATGATACGTATTGTATGTTTCCTCTCTATAAATTTTGAGAGAAATCGTGGTACGAGGCGAACATAGTTCCCTGAACGTGCACGTTCCCCTCCACGTCCGAGAGGACATCGGCCTGTTGCAATCTGTATCGTGGATTCTGATCGAGAAAATGCTGATGCCTCGCCAGTATATGCTTCATCAGGCTGTCTTTGTAACGTGTTCTGTGCGGGCAGAACGCGCACTTGAACTTTGGATCGATCCCGCACTCGAAATCGTGATGCCTCTTCAAATGGTGTTTGTGCTTGTAAGTTTTCCCGCAGGTGGCGCAAGTGTGTTTGAACACCGACATGACCGGATGGTACTGGGACTTGGCTGAAACAGACACGAAACAACGATCGATTAGTCCGGATCGATTGTTGCGGCTACTGCGTATTTTCCCAACAGATAAATGTAGTCGGACGATCTCGAAATTTTTCACAACTTGTTCCTCGAGTTGATCCGACGTTTCGAAACGAGAGAAGAAGAAAAAAAAAAAAGAAAAAACGAAGGAGGATAAAAAATTTTTCGCAGGACAAAAAAAGGTGAGGTGTGGTGATGGTGGTAGTGGCGACGGCGGCGGGGTTATGGTTAATGCACCGGACACAGACAACAGACAGTCGTTTTTTTTCTTTCTTTTTTTTTTTTTTTTTTTTTTTTTTATAGAGCTCATTGGTGACAGACATTCTTCTTTTTATTCGATTCGATCGTGTCACTTGTTGTTGTTATTTGTTTCCGTCTCGTTATTCATTACGAAAGCGAAAAAGAAAAAATACGCCATCCCTTCTATTCTTCCTTCCTTCCTTCCATTCGTTTTCCCCTTTCGCTCTCGACATTCTCGTACCTCGGAAGGGATAACGAATCGGCGACGGATGATCCTCGTGTATATCGTACCCGTGACGTAATTACTTATGCGCATGCCTGTCTACGTCCTTGTCGTGTGTCTGTACGTATATGTGTATGCGTGTGTACGACAGAGAAGAAGATAGACACATATCACATTTAAGTAGAAACACGTGTGTGCGTGCGTGTATGTATCCGTGTTATCGTCACACAACACAACTTTTTCCCCACTTTACAACGCGAGTTCGCACGCGCGAATTCGATCGATCAACGAGCGAGCGAAGAGAGAGAGAAAGAGAGAGAGAGAGAGAGAGAAAGATGGGGATATAATAAGAATAAGAAGAGCCGTCTCAGGGGTTTCTCTGTTGCCTGATGCTCGCTGTTCGAGGCGTGAACCCAGACCTGGCGTGTTTCATCATGTGCACCTGAAGGTAGGACCTGTAGGTGGCCCGATAAGGGCAGAAGGTGCACTGGTGCATCGGTTGTTTACCGCACTCGTTAATCACGTGCCTCCTCAGGTTCTTCATTTGGTGGTAACGGCGATCGCAATTGTCGCACGCGAACCGCCCCTGTCCCCGAGATCTTCTTCGATCCTTGGGCATTCGGCTAACGTAGAACCGCATTTTCGCGTAATCTGGAACCAGGAAGAAGAAAAAAAAAATGATCACGGGTTAAATTATAGGGAGAGGCTTGTTTGAGGGTCGCGGTTCCTTTTCATCGAATGCGAAGTTGAAATTTTATTTTATTCGCTCATCGATCGATCAATGCAGATAAAATGTATGTATATATATATATGTGTGTGTATATATATATACACACACACACACATATATATATATATCTTTAAACGTATGCACAGGTCGCGAGGAAGAGAGAGGCAAAAGGGACAAAGAGGGAAGAAATTCGATCTTCCCTGGACACGATTCTTTTTTTTTATTTCTTTTCTTTTGCTCGTCACAGATATTTTTGAACATAATGTTTCGACATATATTTATGCGTTTCACGTGTCGTTTTTCACGGCACATTCGTCCGTGAATTCGAGAGTGAAAGATTATGTTCGAACGTAAATTTCACCCTCGACGTCGCAAGATTTTAGTTTAGATTTGTGTCCTTCACATTCCCATGAAATCGATCAATGGCAACGGACGAACGAGCAAGTGCTTGTTGGCAAGCTGTTAATTATCCTGTTCGAGATATGCCAGGCCAATATATTTCCGATAATATATTACACTTCACCTACGTGAACACAGTCACAGTTACAGATACCCCGTTGTGTATCTGTGAATAAAACGTTTACTGAGCTTCCAACACGTCGCTTGCTGCTGATAATTTTTGTATCCCGCCGACGAGTAGATGCTTTGTTCTTGTCGAATCAAACCTTCATACTTCGTATCGAATCGTATCCTCTCTTCCGTTCCATTTTTTCGCGAGAAATCTGAAATCGTCGATGGTCAAATTAGAGTCTTGGAAAAAGAAGAAATAAGAAGAAGGAGAAAAGAGAGAGAGAGAGAGAGAGAAGAAAAGGAAGAAGAAGAAGCGGGAAGGTTGAGAAAAAGTTAAAAAAGTTAGAATTACCTCAAAGCTGGAACTTCAACGTCAGGCTGAACAAGAATGGAACACTTCGTCGATGTATAAATACGTAAAAAAAAAAAAGAAAAAGAAAAAAAAACGGAAGAACGTCCGTTTTCATCGTTCGAAAAAATTCCTCGTTCGAGAATGAATTCGATACGAGAAAAGTAAAAAGAAGAGAGAATAAAGAGAAAAGAAAAAGAAAGTTCGTACAAAACACGTGGAATCTCAATGTTTCATATTTTATTGGTACGAAATAGGTACGTGCTCTATAATGGATATACTTCTTGGTTGGTTTTTCGTTCGAATGCTCGAACGATTTGAACGCAATGCAGCTTGTGACAATGACCGAATAATAACTCTTGGCGCGTAATCGCGGCACAGGCGGTTTATTTATTTATTAATAATTATGGTTATTGTCGATCGCGTATGATATATGGAAATAAGCGTAAGTGTTCAACATAAATCATAATAATCA